GCATTCATCAGCATTATAGGCTCACAATAAAAGACTTGTCTCCTTAAACTTTATTTTAACATGCTCATTGGGCATTTTGCAGGCTTAAGGCACGTTGTGACTGTGACCCGGCCCCTTTATTTGGATTTTCTGTTTCTATATTGCTCTTCCCTTGGGTCTGTCCCCTAATTGTTGACTTTTTCCCCCCTACTTCCTTTCCTCTTCTTCTACACCTTTCCTTCTCCCTTTAATTATCTTCTGTTCTTTCATTGATTCCTCTCTCCTTGATCCTTTTCTATTTCCATTTTTAACACTTTTTTCTGCCCATTAATTTTACTACTATGCCTAGAGCAACCCCAGTTCCCAAACAGTAATATAACTTAAGGGAGCATTGAGCACATGCAATAGCAGTGTGGGAATGTTTACAGTTCCTTCCAACTGTGCTAAGAGATCAAGACACAAAATATGCTGAAAGAATGGAGTGACACAAACTTCCACTGAGTTATCATTTTGCTTGTAAGTACTTCTGTGGGTAAAGAGTATAATTCAGGTAATAAAACCTTTGCCAGAGTATTATTTTGTAGAGGAACTAATATCCTGGAGAAAATGAAAGCAGGCAAGAAGTCAGGAGATGATGGATCCTGTTCTTCAAACCCTGGGTAACCTTCAGCAAACAACAGCTGCAAGATGGACCTTACCTTGGTTTGCTATTTTATAAACAGGAGGTAATATTTGACCCAAATATCTGATAGCTCTAGGTTAAAGATTAATTTGATAATATGCATAAAAAAGCTTCATTCTTTGGAAGGGGAGAAGCCTGATGTAAGAATTCAGTATTTACTATCTGTTCATCAGATGACATGATTTAGTGATTCTATCACGCAAAGAACAAGTCTTTATCACCAGATTTGGGTTGGCTCACTCAGTCCAGGCTGCAGAGCTTTGGGACCTTCCTGTCAACAACGGCCCCTTCCTGCACAGTCTCTTTATCTGACCAGGCTCTTCTGAACCTTCTTCTTACAAATGGCTTTGTTCTTCTCCAAAGGCCCTGGGCAGCCACTGGGAAGCTTTCTTAAGTCACCTCCTCAAATTCTACAATGATTTGGAGAGCAGAAGAGAATCAGGTGAGAAGGGTGTGTCTGTTGTTTCCCATATGTGTCTGTATGTTTAGAGAGGTCCCTAAAGAGAGTCTCAAATCTAACAGAAAGGAATATATTCTCCTAGTCTCCTTTAATAGACACCGTTTCTCAGTCACTGTAACAAGATGACTTATCCATCTTGAGCCCTAAGGGGCAGATGTGAACATGCAAAAGCCTATTAAACAGTCAATATTATAGTATACATTTTAGAAAAATACCTTTTTCCCTCTTCTTTCTGAATCATTCAGTTTGAACCTACTCAGAAAAACTGCTGACTCACTGGGACTATGAAACACTCTTCTTAAGAGGTACTTCCGCTAGTAGCTCATTTCCAATTATATAAAGTTCTTCTGTTAGTCGATTCATAACTGTGAATAGTTCCTTTAAAGTCCTCGAGTTCATTTGTAACTCTGAGGGGAACTCTACGAAGATCTTATGAAATCAAAAGCTTTTATTACTGAACACATTTCCAGATTCACTTAGTAAAGCCACTCTTTCAGAAAACTTTACCTTTTTGCCCCTTTCCTCCTCTTTACTGGGGTAAAGAAAATATAAATATGTCTGTTAATAAGCAAGTTTAAAATTCCTTCACTGAAAAAGCCCACAGTAAAAACCAAACATAAAATGAATAGAAATGAATAACAAACTCAGAATTTTAGATTCTTTTTTTGACTTTTGTCTAAACACAATGTAACCAAGAAGTCTCCACTTATTTTCATGCACATATACTTATATATATATATATATATATTTACACATACACATATATATACGTAAATGTATATATTTAACAACATGGAATGGTAACATATCAAATGCTTAGATTCCGTGCAAACACATAACCTTTTCTGCGAAGGAAACATATTAACATTATAAAAACAAATCATGGAGAGGAACGTGCAACAGTGGAGAGGAGCGGGGAATGGGGTAGGGGCAGGGGACCAGGAGGAACACAAAGAATGTAAAGAACAAAAAGTGTCATTGACCTGATTTGTCAGAGTTGTTGCCTGTGATTGGAGTGATGGAGCAGCTGGGATTAGCCTTTGCGCTGTCCTTGGAAGAAACCATTTTGGGCTTATTTTTCGTTGCCTCTAGTGCTTTGACCTTCTTGGCATGTTTACTTCCTTTGTAGTGGGCCTCGGCCTGGCTCTACAAAGGAGAACAAATCAGGCTCATTTTTTTGCTACTTACAAACACCACAATGGATGATCATGCAGGAGAAAATACATTCAATCATAGGCACCACAGACACTTACAACTCAGCACTCAACTATGTTTTTGGTATTTAATGAAGTAGTAGACCGGTATCCTAGAGTATTTTGCAGGTTGAAACCTTCTCTATACAAAAACAGAGGACTTATGTCTTTCAAAGCCAGACATTATACGAGAGGACAACAGGGTCAGGGCAAAACTGGGACGAAGGTGAACTTTGTTATTAGTGCCCTCCCACCACTGCCCATCGGGGTTACTTGTCAAATGTTTGGCTGGCAGCAAGCTGCCTGGGGTGCCCTCTCCAGGCGTGGACTTCTACAGCCATTCCATCTTGTTTCCCTTCAACTACAAACTTGCTCCCCTGCATCTATGTTCCTCTTGGCTCTGCTCTGAGAGCTACTGATGTGACAAAGCAACCTGCCAGTGAGTGGAGGTGGCACTGCATTTTGGAGTCATCTAGCCATGCTCTGTGTGTCATTTTGATGACTCCAGTTCTAAGAATAGACAACATAAGCCCCAAAGGAGGGAGGGACAATCCTTGTTTCTGATCTCAGAGGTGATTCTGAAGTCAAAGCAGTTAGTGTTACATTCACCTATACACAAAGCATAGGTGGAACTGTGACTTCAAAACTAGGTTAAAAAAAAAAGAAGAGAGACCCAGGCAAGTGAACATTAAAAATCTTCAAAAGACAAAAACAACTTACAGCAAAACAAGAAAATATTTAGTCCATTTTCTGACATTTAGAAAATTCTCCTCTGCCTAGAGAATAAGGATTTTATCTTTTTGGTATCTAGTATAATGTACATATTAACAAAAAAAATCTAAGTATATTCACTTGAATTTCATTTTGAATAGACCCTGAATATATAAACATGGACTTGATTAAAAAAACCTAAAACATATATTATATGGTATATTAGCTTAGTTATTAAGGTGAAGAGGATGATAAACCTGTCACATAAAGTGAGTTTTTGTTAGATTTCTAAAGCAACAATAACTTTTACATCAGTTTTCTTTATATACCTTATGTGTTTGAAGATGATCATACTAATGTTTTCCTACATTTTCCTCAGCAAGCAGCGTACAGGTGGTGTGTGTGTGTGTGTAGATACACGTGGCAGTGGACAGAAGGAACCAGGTTTTAATTCTGTATTTCAGTTAAAGATATAAATGATTTTTCTAACACATAACCTTGATTACCCAAGGCCAACAGACTTACACTGAATAACTTTCTAATTATCTCTTCATAAATATTATTTTATACCATCATTGACATCATTTTAGCTCTTAGTTTGCTCAGGGACCTCTCAGATTATTCTCTGTCAAGTTGAAGAAGAAAACCGAAAAAACCCAAGGGAAGAGAGAAGTGTAACATTATTTTAAATCTTTTATTTATTACTATCTGAGAATAGTTAAATCCAGTATATATAGTTAGGTAGATACAAAGAAAATATACAAATAAAAATTTAAAAATTGATAATGTGAAGAAATAATAATAATGACTAATATTATTGAGCCTCTGCCAAGAACAGTTCTAAACGTATTACATGTATTAGCTGATGTAATCTTCATAATACCCTTTGAGGTAGGTACCAATAATAGTCAGCACTTCACAAATAGGAAACTGGGCACGAGAAGTTAAATAACTTATCAGAAGTCACACAGGTAGGTGTGGAAGCCATTTTGTGGCTGTGAAATGCTTAGGTGTGTACCCCTATTTCACTGTATACTCACACATTAAATATACACATACTCAGAGTAAGTTAACAGTACAATTTTATTAGAAGTAAAAAATTACACACCAAGAATGCACACTGTTTTTAATGACTCAGTGAAAGACTGTATTTTAATAGACATTTCTGTGAGTAGGAAATATACTAGCATAGTACATTAGAACTGATCCTTCTGGTGAGTAACTAAGAAAGTCTTGCTTTTAAGGTAGATAATTTCTTTAGGATACCAGAAGACCTCCTAGTAATTCATCTTTCCAAGTATTCTAAACAGTGAGATGCTACTTTAGTGCCCTTTGGCTGAAGAAACATACAGTTCTCTAAATAAAACTTCCCAGCACAAGATAAGCAGCGTGTCATTTCCTCATTACTATTTCCTGGCATCACTGCAGAAAGTTAACAGCATCAATTAGCACTTGGGGTAAAGAGCCAGCTAAGTGATACCTCACCGGATGCCAGGAGGGAAAGAACTCTCCAGAACCGTGATTCACTTTTCTTTTGAGGTCTGGGGCATGAAGAAATGAGCGTTCTTAGTGCTAAGGACTGCAGTCTGCAAAAGATTTGGAGGAAAGAGTGGCAGGCACCACTCACTCACATCTGGCACCTTTCCAATTCCCTGGTGGTATTCTTGGTAATAGCACTTTGCTTTCCTCAGTACTGTATCTGAGGTGTCAACAGCTTCTAAGTCCTGGGCAGACCTTCAAGTGAAACCGAGACACTGTTAAACAGTGACACGATTAACCTGACTTCATTATCTGGGAATCTCCTTACTTGAGGAATGAAAGAAACATGGACAAGAGCCAGAAAACCAATGAACTCAGCAGTGCAATCAAGCCTGATCAACCACGGCTTTCATGTCCCTTCTGAGAGTCTTGGTTAACCAAACTGACCTACTTTGCACCTCAGTGACTAACGAGCAGACACATATTTGTCTAGCACTAATGGCGTGCTTTCTGATTCTACCCCGAAGTGCTGCTTTACCCCTAAACTGGCAGTGATCAAAGAAACCCCTTGCTGACAACTTCCAGAATTAGAGTTGCCCAAACCATCATGCTGACTCCACACAAGAATTCATCCGTATCTAGGTTCCTTTTCCAGAGGTCACTCCAGGAGCTACCTGACCACCCACTGGTAGAGGAATAGCTTTGATGGGAAATATCCTGGAATTTTTTCTTCCATTTATCTCCATCTTTGTCACTAAAGCCCCTCAGTTTCTGAAGTCCTCTACATCTCTGAGGACACTACAGGTCCAAGTAAAAAAGATAAATAATGAGATAATATATTGCTTTACAAATAAGAATGCAATAATGAGAAATTCAGTAATTCACTGAGGTCCCATTTCTGTTTTTTACCTTATTTCTATTTTGGACTTTAGAGAGGTGGATAGGATCTTGTAACAAGATGTAAAACTGTGTTCACTTTGTACAGAAAAGGCAGTCCAAACACAAACTGGCAAGTGACTGGGGAAGGGTAATGTCACCAGAAAAAGTCCGCAACTGCTTATTTACCAGCAGACCTGATCTTTTTGTATTTTAAAAAGTAATTAGAATCATTTTCTTAATTAAAGAAATTGTATCATTATTGGCATCTGTTTTTTCTGAGACCTTAGATTTCAGTGTTAAGCAGTGTTAGATGGGAAATAGCAGAGGTCAGTTAATTTTCAGAAAAACCCTGTATATTAAAATGCCAAATAAAACAGATGTCAAACAAATTACCACAAAACCAGGCTAAACTAACAAGGAGAAAATCTGATTATTTATTCCACAAAGAATTATTTAGCACCTGCCATGTGCTAGACATTGTAAAAGATTAAATATAAAGACCCTACTCACAAGAATGGTAGTTGGAAGAAAAGATGTGCATACAATGACTATAATCCCAAACAGAGGGTCAAATTGTGAAATGAAAGTAAACAGCAACAAAGAAGTATGGGACTCAGTGGAGGGGTGAACTTCTTCGGATTGGAGGGCGATCGTGGAAGTTTCAGGGAAAAGGGACATCAGAGCTGAGCTCTGTTCTGGGGGCAGGGTTCTGAAGTGGCAGTCTGGAGGGGGATGTATTTCACGTAGAGGGACCAGCATGTGCTAGGGTGGTGACACCCTGTGAATTATGCAGTGTTTCTTGGGCACACCCGATTTTCAGTACCACGGGGACACAGACATAACAAAGGAGCACTAGGGAAAGGTGGCCACATTGTGATACCTTGAAAATTATTATCCTGTATAAAGCAGAAAATGTGTCATGGTGTTCTATAATTAAAAAAACAAATGCTCTACTTATAGGCATCTTAAATAGATGGTTCTAAGTAAGATGTTGCTTTTACATCACAGATTTTATCCTCTGCTCCAAAGTATAATCCTACATTCAAAAGACAACCAAATTATTTATATAGAAGATTAAATAATTTGAGATAAAAGCATGGCACTGAAAATACCATAGTTACACATACTAAGAAACAAACTAGAGATCACTGGGTAACAGCTAAATAATTACTTGAGTCTCTGCTTTAACATGAGACTATTTTTAACTATTAAAATGCTTTTTGCATTTATTTATGGCATGGATAAGATCACACACTCTCAGAGACAAAGCTACCACATAGAAAACATAAGATGCACCCAAGAGAAAGGCTTACTTAATTCAAAGGTAAGTCTTTCTGCTGATATTTGCAATTTTAAGGCCTGCAATATCAGTAATGACATACTACTGGCTTTGATATTCACTTCGCTCAATCCTCATCTATTGGGATCTGTTGAAAACAAAGTCCAGACAAAATTATAACCGTTATGGAATTTTTTATCTTAAAAAGACACAATGCCTTTGCTAATTTCTAATTTATAGCTAAGTGAAACCCTCCAGGTTGCCACACTGTGTAACTGCAGGGGACGAGGGGGCACCATTCATATAGAGTTTAATGTGAATGGCGTCCTCTGGATTCCTTCAAGGCCAGAGTTCTGGCTATGGCTTTTCATATTTACTGGCTTTGTAATTTATATGTGTAAAACCCATCAACTCCAAATATTTCTATATTACTAACGAGAAAAGTGGTGCCTCTAGGAAGAAAACAATGTGCACTCTAGACTGCTAATTCTCTTTGGAGCTAATTCAGATTCTGTCAAATATCATGAAACAGAAGTAGAGTTCTTCAGCGATAGCTGCTTTGAAATGCCACTGTTTGAATACATGGGCATTACAGATGTCTTTGT